AACCGATAATTAAAACTTTCTTTCTTTCTTTCTTTCTTAAAAAAGACAACTCCCGCATTAGGAAAATATCCTGTGTCGCGGGGGACTTTACAAACATACATGTAACGGACACAAAGAACACCCAGACTCGGAACAACAATTTGTAGATCACACAAAGTGTCGTCCCATGTGGGGTTTGAACCCACAACACTCGGCGTAGTAGGAAGCGGCGTGGCGACCGCTTAAACCACTACGCCATCCGTGCAGTCAACCATTACTTAATCCCTATTTACATATCTAAAATGAACTAAGAGTCCTTTCTCAGTTGATATGTACAATATCGAACAAAGCAGGCCTATTAAACATTAAGACAAAAAAAAACTAACCGCCTAATCACAAGTCCAAAACTGGGTTAACAAAAGGGTTCATGGACAATATGACCCTTGCATATCGACACAGGCCAAATAATGAAACAATATTAGTTGACCCTACTAATACAAGGGTCAGGTAAACAGCTGCCAATTAACAATGCAATTTTATTTTGGACAGATTTGACCTTGCATGACTACCCTTGTAATAAGAGGAGATAAAAAACTATTTGGCAAGGCAGACTAGATATATTAAAAGTAAAATTTCAAGAGAATAGCCAGCTAAAGTGGAGATTTAAATGAAATGCTATTTTTGTTTGTTTTTGGATTACTTTATCATTTCCTAATCAGTATCAAGAATTTTTTGAAAGTGAACATATTAATATAATAACAGATATAATACATTAGTCTAGAGAAAGCTGTCATGAATAGTATCATAGCCAACTTGACACAAGTAATTAATATATTAATGCTGTTGGAGGCAGTGGACTTTATTTTTGATTTTGGGTCGATCGTAAATAAATGCCTTGGTTTTTGAATTACAATGGTTTTATTTTTCTTGCCAGAGAGCACAGTGAGCACATATATTAAATTAGTACACACACGACATAGATAATTCTTAACCTCAATTAATGTTGCCACATTAACCAATAAAATAGATTTTGTTTTTGAGTGCCATAAACAGGTGCAATATTTAAAATTTTCATTGTTTTGGAAACCTTCTGCTTCGCAGTATTAGTTATAAGTTAAGTGTTTATATATTTCTAAGTGAGCCAAAGCTTAAGTGGATAGTTTAGTAGTAGTAGAAACAAAACAAACCCGTTACGTTTGCCTCAAATAAAGAATGACAACTATAAAAACTTAAGAAATGTGCAGGAGGAAATTTGCACTTGACATTGCTTGGTTAAAACTTTGGTATTTTCAATATTTTATAACATATGTGTACTTTCTTAATTAGATAGCATGGCTGGAGTAATTTTTTGTACATGGATAGCTGGACATGTAATATAGCAATGTAAAAATAGTTTTTGAAGAGAAACAAAACAAACTGTTTAATAGGAAGAAACAAAAAAAAACAATTCTATCCAAGTAAAATAGTTGTTAATGATGCACTTAAAACATTTTATAATCATCTTTTAGGATACTTACTGAATGGGATACTGGTGAGAAAAACCTTTATCAAATAATTGACAGATTTTTCTAATCTCAAAAATACTACACACATCATGATAACATAATAATCAAACTCACTACATCTATACCACACTTGGGTCAGTAAAGAAACACCACCAAACACTTTCTATTGATATGCTTTTTAAGCTTCCCAACAACACCTGGCACTCATTTGAATATAATTATTATTTTGCTGACCGTATTGTGGGGTCCTTTTCAAAGGCCTGAGATTGGTCCTATTTAAAGACCACCTATTATTATTATTTGTGGTCTATTGTGGATGCTGCCCATCCGGAAGGGACATACTTGATATTATTAGAAAGGGTCGTTAATCCAACTATCTGTTTGTGTTCGGTTTAAGTATTATTCTTTACGCATGTTTACATAGAGGAATTTGATATTCAGTCTTACTCTTAAAAAACAGATTTAATAACTTTTTGTCCTGTGGTGCAAAGTTGACTGATGTTGCTTTTTAATAAATAATATTCATTATTTGGCATAAGTAAGTTTGTGGCAGCTGTTTACTCTTTACCTTTTTGAAAATAATTATTATAAAATATCTGGAATCCTGAATAGCCTTTTTACTTAATTGAATTAAGAAACTAAATAAGTAAAAAGACTATTCAGGATTACAGACACTAAGTAGAGCAGACATTCACCTTTTATCATCTTCACCTATCATCACCAAATCCTAATTACATTGTAAAAACTTTTGGCTAGTTTTTTTTCTAATCTATAGTCTTCCTGATGCCAAAATGCCCTTTTAAAGTATGCAATCGTTTTCAAATAAGACTAAGGAATTGATGTGAATTTAGATAAATGTCCAAAGGTAAGGGATACCAATTTTCGGAGAGGAACGACGCACGTCTCGAAGACTAGTGACTTGAAGATCCCGTGGTCACGTAACTACCTACGATACCTACCTATGATCGCCCTGTGGTTGGAGAGGCCTTTAGGATTCGATTTTGAACAGTTATTATACTGTATAACTGTTGTTTTTTTTTTTAGTTGTGCATATTTTTATGTAGTAGGTATTAATTTTTACAATGTTTTCAAGAATAACTAACTATGAAGTTTAATGTTTTTATTGTGAAAGGAACGACATAACCTATTGGTTTTACGGTGTATTTTATTAAAAAAAAATCAAATTATCTTGTAACTTAAATCACAGTTCAGAAACATAACAAAACGATTTCTCGAGACATAGTTTACGCGGTGATTCACTTGGTAGTGGAAAAGACAGAAGCCCAAAAAGTTAGTGATCAGCGCCATCTACGTAAATGTTAGTAAAATAATTAGAAGTTTTAATTGTCATTTATTTTGGGGTTTATTCTGTTTTCAATCATTTTTTTATTTTATAGTGGACTAAATTGCAACAAATTACAATCATAAAACTAATAACAAACTCATAAAAAATATTATTATGACCATGTAAAGTAAATGGTTGAACCGCCATCTATAATGTATATTTAGAATTAAAAAGTAAGTCGTTTTTAAAGATATCAAGTTCGTACCACACGTGTGTTATAGATGACAGCACCAGTTTAAAAAAACTACATTCAAATCGTTAATTATTTTTTATTTTGTAACTTCTATTCATAATAAATTTTGGATAAATATATGCACAAATGCAATAAGTCGGCAAGTATAAATGTAAGATTATTTAGTAGGCATATTAGTTTTATTTGACAACTGACACTCAAAAGTGTACTCATGGAACAGGATGTTTTAGCAATATTTTTGAATAATATTTATTTTTAAAACCCTTATGTTAAATGCAGTACACATAAGGTTTTCGTGTTCGTTTTCCTATTACTTAATATTTAATTCCAAGTAGTGATGCCAAGAATAGTGATTTGGCCGAATAACGAATATTCGGCAACACTTGTACCTTTCGCGATTTTAGCGAATCAGTAAAATGGTCAACAAATGCAAAACAATATCCTAACATAACAGGGATTATAGATTATTAGATATTATTAGACATAAGATTTGTTTATCATCTCCTGGAAGCGGTATATACAGTGAGCGGTTATTTTCCGAAACAGGTATAATTTATAAGAACAAATGCTGAAAAAAATGTTTTAAGTATTAATATAATAAGTTATTAGTAAAAAAAACTTTTTATTTATTATTATACTTTTTTTTTCGTGATTTATTATTCGGTGTTTGGCCGAATAGTGCGGCATATTCAACCGCTTACCGAATAGTGGAAACAATTGTAGAAAAGGCCGAATACCGAATAGTTGCCGAATATTCGAGGCATCTCTAGTTTCAAGTACTCTGTATTTTTAAATATATAAAAATCTCTGACATTTTAGAATTAACTCCTATGCAGGCCCCTTTTTCCCACTGGGCACTCTGGGCCCTAATTCCTGCCAGAACACCAATCGATAATCGATATTTATTACGGAAAACCATATTCATTTCCAAAAATTCATGCATCATATTCATTTCGATAATTACTGACTTTAATACTTTTTTGTCTAACAGGATAGTAATCAGTCAAGGTCGTAGTAGTAGGGGCCCCATCAGTGCCTCCAATAGGCTAAACAATGCCCTTTTTTTTCCTTTCAAGCGGGGAATGCTTTTCGCACCAAACCCTCCGTTGAAGAAACGTAGGGCGTGTGTGGGACTCCCGGAGAACCGGTCTACCCACTAAACCCCGCGGCGGCCTACCTCGGCAGTCGGGAGGAGCTCCAGGAACGCATCGGCGACTTCTGGAGTCATCCCTGCCATACCTTATGTCTGAGGCACATCCCGGAGTGATCGAAGTCACCCTGGGGCACTGTTCTACAGAGTAAAAGGCGCAACAGCATCCCGCCTTAGACGACAGCCCCCAGCCGCACCGGAGTAGGCTAAACAAGGCCCTGCTCGTATGATTGACCTCCACTCTTCGATTTCTCAAACACACATAATATACTTTATAACTACTAATGGCATCAACGAACAAACAATCGAATATACCTAAATAAAATAGGAGGAAAAGGGTTTCTATTCTACTAAGATCCTGAAATAAAATAAATAGTAGCCTTTTAAACGAACAGTCGTCAGTAATTTATTTATTTATAGATATTTAAATAATACAATTGTCTCAGAAATACACTTTAGTAACTACAAATAATACACTTTACGGGGAGTCCGTGGCCGCGGCGGAAGCTGGTCCCGGTGGGAGACCAGTCTAAGTTCCGCCAGCCGAATAATAACTACAAATTAATTTTTAGAATAATATGTAATAGAAATTCAGTACCGTACTAAGAAATAGCTTAGATTTATGTTTTTTTTCTGATTGTATTAGTAGTTAATAAGGACCATTTCTCCACCACTAATACATGGAAAAAAACTTAATATTGCTTTTTAAATATAACTTATTACCTACTATCCTATCTTTAGTATCTAATCTAATCCCTGAATAACTTAATAAAATAAGTACCTACTGTAAGCCAAGCCCCCTTTAACACAGAAACGCCACTAACACATTTAATTAAGCTTTATTTTATATAGTTTACTAAGCATCCTTTCACTAAGTTGCTCCCCGAAAATCTTAGTACCACTTCTCCTATTTAAGCTAAGATGAGAATTAAAAAACTCATATTTCTTCTTCAATCCTTTCTCTTTCAAAAAATACGGATAATTATTATCTGTGGACAAATAGAAAACGCCTTCTCTTGTCCTATCTGTGTTTAGTCCAACGATGTTAGTAACAATTGGAGTACGATCATAACATTTTTTATCTCTGGCATCTTGTACTGAATCACATTTCAAAGCAATAAAACTATCTGGATTGTTCAGAGCCGCTACCCATAGAGTAAAAGATCTTATGTGGCTGCATAGTCCAGTGCAAGGAACCCAAAAAACATCACCCGGCTGGAATTCTCCGCCGTTGACGTAAAAATTAACATGGCCGACTGGAGCCGCCATGCCGTACTCGTCAATGTTCGTTTCTATAACATCCACGAAGTCTGCATCTGATTGGTCCAGCCTGTCTTCTGGGCCCAGGTTTCTGAAGCAAGGACCTGGTAATTTATTTTAATAGTATTGATTATTTTTATCGTCTTGAGTCCCTATGAATTAAAGAGTTCGCGGGAATGTGGTCACTATTTCAAGGGTTTGTAATAACTATTGTTAATAGTCAAAAAGTACCTAATCGTGTCTAGTTTATTCATTTTTTTAAGCTTTTTATTACTGTGCAGATTAATCTCATCAAATATGGAATAGTACAGTGAGAAAACATTACGTAACATAATATATTGTACAGAGGGCCAAGTGCGAGTTTATTTCACTCGATCGTCACGGTGATCGCGTTCGGCGCTACGATTGGCTCGCGCAGAAATCTCCACCAATGGCAACGCTAAACGCGCTTGCCGTCTAGATCGAATCGATGTGAAACAAGCTTGCATTCGGCCCTCAGTACTCAGGAGCCTGGGTCTACTGCACAGGATAAAAAGTCAACTTAACTTGAACTAATTTAGCATTTTATCTTATTTGTAGTTCAATTGTAATTTGCTACTATATAATGAGTAAACTTCACTGTACTGTAAGTAGAATCATAATATTGTACTTACTTAGACCTTAGACCTTAAGAAAAAGTCAGACTAAATACCCAAAAAAGTAAATGAAACGGCTTCATAAATGACCAGCAAACCTGAAGGATCGAGAGCTGTAATTCTGGAGATGTTGATCCCTGTCAGGAGTTTGAAGTTCTTCGCTACGAAGCTAGCAGTATGTCCTCCTAGGCTTAGACCTACAATCGATAACGTTTTAGGATCCAAGCCATACTGTGTTAGGGAAACCAGCATTTCAGCAACAGGTTTTCCGATAGAACGCACATTGCGAGCAGCCCTGGAAATAAGGAAAGTTTTATCCGGAGATACACTGCAATGAAAAGAGCAAGATAGACAATATATACTTATAGCACTGTTTGCACAATCCTGTAGAAAGATAATCCTGTAAAAGATAAAAAAATGAATAACGAATTTATACTCGTTCTATTTACATTTCTCTTTACATTAATCATCATAAGTGTTGAAGATTAATTATAAAAGAGCCATGCTCTACCATGGGTGGGCTCGATAGGGGTGATACCACGGTGTCACAGAACACTGGTGTTAAGCATTTTATAGAGGGAGTGTGGATGTTCAATCCAAATTCTGGCAGAAGCACTCAAAGATCTGGTAATGTCCTTGAAACTATAAAGTTTTTTTGAGCTGAGCTTGAGCTTGTACTATGGCTACTAGACAACTGATATAAATACATATAACTGTTTTTGTTAATATATACACATTATACATAGAAACACCCAGACTAAATCAAACATTAAATGTTCATGCACACAAATGTTTGACATGAGCGGGAATCGAACCCGCGACCTTTGAAATAGCAGTCTGTCACACAAACCACTACGCCATCCGGTCGTCAAGTTGCAGGTGTCCACCTGGGCAGTCAACCACTCACCATCGCAAGCAACATAAAATAATGCAGTCGACGAAGGCTTGATTGTGGAGACTCTGTCCTAAGATGTTGATGATTTCAATGATGATGACTTAATGATTATTGATGGTGATTCAATGATTAATAATTTCCCTTCGAGGCTACGATGTTAGATTTTTTAATTAAGAAAAGTATAAAAATTTAAAAGGCTTCTTAGATAGTCGGTAAAAGCTTGGCAAAGTTAGCTATCCCAAGCTTGTACTGACTATTCCTATATTAATACGAAAAAGATACAATAGTGCTAAGTATGTTGTTCGAAAACTCTCTCAACTAAACTAAAAGTCACTAAAAATTTGTTTAGTCCTGTCAAATAACATTTTTCATATTCTGAAAACGTAGTACTTGAAAGGACTAAACTAATTTTTTGTGATTTTTAGTTTAGTTTAGAAAGTTTTCGAACAAACGAATTAGGATCAATACTGTACCAAAGATAAAATTTGATTACTAATACATAAACCGTATCTGTCTTAGAATCTTAAGATAAGAAACGACATTTAAAAAACTTACAAAGGATAGTCAAACACGGTGAAAGAATTTGTGTTGAGTAAAAAGACGTTGTACCCCAACTTTTTATACAGTACCCCCAGGACCTTTCCAGGAAGGTAACTGGGGTGGTCCATGTAGCCTCCAATATACATCACGCTGGGTTTGCTGAAGTTAACGTGAGGGTTTTTGGGCAGTTCATCAATTTGGTAGTAACTGTATGTAGATCTTGAGGAGAAGAAACTGCGTCCTTGCTGCACAGAAATTGTAAGGTATTTCAGGTACTTTGTGTCTATCGCTGTGGGTATGTTTGAACCAGGACCTGGAAAGAAAGTTTTGGATATAAATGATTGATAAATTGATGAATGTAAAGACATCTAAGAAGAAATAGTCCTCCCCATCTACTAGCAGATGTTTTCAAGTGTGTCAAAGAAAATACAGGTAATAGTGTTGTCAACCAGAGGCAGATAAAATTAATTTCCTGTAAAATATTTGTGTAAAACTACAGAAATTTTACAGATATGAAAAGCTTTATTTATTTTATTTCTTAAGAAGTTTAGTTTAGAGAGTTTTCGAACAACAGAGTTAGGACCATTGTCGTATTATAGATTTACCTTATATTTTTAAAATATTATTGGAACTGTAGTTTTACAATTCAATAAACTACAATACAATAGTCTACAATAATAATAGTTATAGGTTGTTCTCATAGGATATAATAGCAATGTTGATTGTCACAAGTCGTGACTGTCCACGGCTATGACACCGAGTCCCAAAAAAAGTCTGTTAACGCAAAAAAGTACTAGAACCACGCTTAACAAACAAGCTAACCGACAGCTACCAACCACCACCGACTTAAAATTTACAAACCGGCTATTTAAATGTTTGTAATTTTCATATCCCCTTTCACTCCCACTTTTAAGATGAATGTAACGACACCTCCAACGCTAAAATCCATAGGCTACAAAGCGTGGCAAAGAAATATACATAAATAAATACACTATAAAATGAAAAACATAAACCTCCTTTTGTGGCAGCCGAGTAAAAAGTATCGTTCCGTCGGTGTGCCATTTAATTTTGGTTACAGTAGTGACGTAATCGTCAATTCTTCAGAACCAATAGGCTAGTTGACAAAATTTCAATAACTGCTTAATATTTTAGCTTATTAGGCATTTTATCGAAATAAAAGGTTTATTTATTTTTAATCGAGCGTTTACATTATAAATTTCGCGTTTTAAAAAACCAATTTCAATTTGGTTCCAAAACGCACAAGACTGTCATGGCGTCTTGAATGACGTCACGCCGTGCGAAACAAACCAAAGAGCGATCGTGTCTTCGTACGTTATAGCTGGTTTTTATCGTTTAAAAATGAATTTCTCATATTATAAGTACTGTATAGTGCCCCAGTGTGATAGCACGACTATAAAAACGCCAAACAAGTTATTTATATTTGTTCCAAACAATGGAAAAATACGGAAAAAGTGACTAAAACTTGCAAGAAGAGATGATGCTCATACTTTATCAACAGGTTCAAGAATGTATTTTTGTGAAGATCATTTTGATGTAAGTATTTCACACAATACAATCTATTACTTAATTCGAGCAAACTAGATGTGTTTTGTAGAATCCCTATTTTCTAAATAATAAATACATGAGTTCAGGTTAAGTTGTTTCACTTTTAGGAGTGAACGTTTTATTTTAGTTTTCTAATTAATGTTACAAAAATACTCTTTTTATTATTCTAGTTGCCAAATGATATGATTAATTATATGGAGTATCATATGAAGGGAACAGTATCACAAGTGAGCATGAAACCAGGTTGTATGCCAAGTAAATTTGGATGTCAAGAAGACAGAAGAAAACGAACATGCAGCATTACAGAACGGCCATATATTCTAAAAAAACAAAGAAAGATGATAATAGAAGAGTGTCTGAATGAATCAAAAGAAAGTTGTACTCCAAGTGGTTAATTCTTTCAAATTATAATTATCAAAAACTGTATCAACTTGATATTAATTGTTAAAAACCAAAATTTTATCAAGAACAGGTAGTGATACTCGAAACGTCAAAGACAAGATTGGAGTTTCGCACGGCGTGACGTAACGCTTTCTGATTGGTGTTCACTGTCACGTGACTAAAGGTTTCATTTTGCGAAATTTATTTTTTAAAAATATTATTAATCTTTAACGCTTTTAATAATTAAAATTGTTTGTTATTTTCTCCATAATATAATTAATCATTATAAACCCCTATCTATTATATTTCTTCTTAATGGACACAAGCCTATTATCGATGTCCTTCAGGCTTTATCAAACTGCAAACTTTGAAGCATAAAATGTTTGCTAACGTTTGTTTCCTTTACCTTTTATGAAAAAATCAATATTGTGACATCGTCACATTGTTTTCAAGGGTACTTTGAAACGATGAAAGGTATATCCATTTATTTGTTGGCCTTAATTTCCTAATTATTAAGTACATAAATATATGGGTTTAAATATTTTCAGCCTATTTTAAGTGAGTGGATTTTTTTTTAACAGTTTTGTGTTCTGACCGAGGATTTGAAAAGTGAAAGGACAAATAATCATCCGACTTTTGGTAATTGACAATTACTTTTTTATATCACAAAAAATTAAAAATATTCAATAATCAATAAATTGGACCATGTTTACTATTAACCGTAGAACCACAGATGATTATTCAAAGATTTACTTACATTTATCTACGGACATTTATTCGTTACTAGCTGACCCTGCAAACGTTGTTTTGCTATTTACATTTTTTTTTTTTATTTTTTTTTAATTTCTTCAAATCCGTTCTTAGATGACCAAATTTCAAGTCTTTCGCTCTAATGGTTCCAGAGATATCGTGATGAGTGACTATATACGTGGAAATCTCTTATATATATAGATTACCTGACATATTATAGCAAAGATTATTAATAAATTTGTTTTTGATCGTATACCTTATGCCTACAGAAAAAAATTATTAAGATTCACCTAAATTTGAGTTATTTTTCTCAGAAAGCCTTTCAATTTTTTTATCTAAAAGTTGGTTTCTTACTATTATTAGAAAAGATCGTCCAGCCGTTCCCCGTTAGTCAGCAAATATAAAAGAGTACATAAAAATCTTGAGGTATTAAAAAAGACGTTTGTTACCTTAATGTATATTAAATATTTGCCTGCATACAAATAATACCTAAAAAAAAAATTTGGAAAAAGATTGCAATGGTTGGTATACTTTTGGAAGTTTTTTTTTTTAATTCTTTAAAAATAATTCTCACACTAGGAACGTTTAAAAACCTTTAAGCAATATTATGTCTGTTTTTATTTTTTATAGTTTATGAACATAACTATAATATTATAATTATATTAACAAAATTTAATTTTATTAAGAGAATTAACCTTCAAATTCATATACAATAAAACAAGAATGACACAAGCAACGATAATTATTCTCTAACTAGCTGGTACCCGCGACTTCTTTCGCGTGGAATTTTAATAGCGCTGCCTTAGTGGTGTAGTAAGTACGGTACGCGACTGCAGTCCATGAGGCCTCGGGTTCGATTCCCGGACCGGGCAAAATTTTATAGGGTTTTTCTGAGAGGAAAAATAACCTAAGTTACTAATTAAATAGACAGCTACCTGGTAGTTAAATATTACCCGAAACAAACACAGAAAGACAGATCGTGCAAATAACCGTATGAGAATGAAAACCTATTATTTGACATTACTAACAGACACTTTAATTTGATTAATTTGTATAGAAAAACACTGAAATGATTAAGTTTGAATAAACAATGCAACATTATTATAGTGTCTCCTTGTTACACCCAGATATAAAACTTTCTGGAGGCATAAAACTCCCAAAAGTATTTCACCAAAACAATCGAGTTTTGTAAGAAAAAATAATAAAAATACTTACAATCCGCTAAATATCCCGCTGCATACCCTTCCAAAGCTTTCGAACTGTACATAGCGTTTGCAAATAATAATTCGAAGAGGACAAACATCAAATACAACATTTTGAATTTAAAAATTGAATATGGTAGTTTAAAAAAAAACGTCTTATAACTGCGTATGATATTGAAGAACTGTATTGTAAAAAGATAAAGTATAAGTCAAACTCAGCGGCACCACAGATACGGATACAACTGGTATACAGCATGGTTTAAAATTATACAAATAAATAAGTGAAAAATGTTTGGCATTTTCAATTCGAAGACAGCTTCTTAAGGAAATTTGTTTATTGAAGTAAAAACTTCTTTAGGGGCGTTGTACAGTTTTTTAGTAATGGGTAAAAAATGTTAAACTCGCGTCAGGACACGTGACCTGATCGAATATTCGTAAGACGGTGGAGAGTAGACAGCCGGCGCGGCGTAGGAGAGGTGTTTCGTTTAGGCGGCGCAGGGCGCTTGCGCGAATGTTCGTGTGTATTTATGTTACAGCGTGCCACACGCATCCATAGATGTTGACAGCGTCTCGATAAATTGTCATGTTTGTGTACGATAGCGCAATAAATAAATATTGCATTCTACCACATAAATGATAGTACTTTTATACTGATAATTAAAGCAATTCGTGCAAAATTAATCCCTAACCATTCCAAAATATCAAAAATGCACAACGTTAATATTCAAGTTTTTTTTATTTACTAAGGACAAACAGTTGCTGTTACATTAAATCTTCTGCTTAGGAAACAATAAATTTACTAAAACTTTCTTAAATGCTTAGCATTTTAAGGTGTCACAACAGACATCAATAATAACAGTATCAGTAGTGAATATAAAATTAAAAAATAATTAATAAAGGAAGTAATAAAGTCAGGTATATGGATATTATTAAAGGCTAAGGTTTCCACAATCTCAAACCAGCTTTCTTGTGAGTGGGGAGTTTATCAGCAAACACATCCACTTCTCCGCGTATGATGTTGTTTTGGACAAACGGCATACGGTTTTGTCTGGTTACCTTACTTGGTGGCCGCCTGCGAACCTTACACGAAAACTTTACCGTTTATCGTAAATTGGGGTAAGAAAAACGGACAGGGAGGAGAAAGCTAAGTAAAAAGCTAGATACGAAACGGGACCGGTATTAGTGCAGCCCTGCCATTAGAGCGCTCGCGCGTTTACTTGACTAAGATATGTGTGTTTAAAACCTTCCATAGTATTATTATATAATACTTTTTGTGGAATGATGACTTAAGTTTATACTCGTACAATGCAAAATATGTATAAATTAGTCATTTTGTGCACTGTAAATTTGTTAACTTAACTATAAGTACTCTGTTGAATGTTTTTTTATGTTAGAGGAGGCAGACGAGCAGACGGGTCACCTGATGGAAAGTGACTATCGCCGCCCATGAACGTCTGCAACTCAGGAGTCACAAACGCATTGCCGGCAGGGGGGGTTGGGCTCCGGAAACCTCACTCACTCGGTGAAATGCAACAGAGAAATTGTATTACAACCGGTTTGAGCAAAAAATTACTTACTTATGTAACTTAAATCACAGTGATTCATAATAATTGAGAGAATGTTTTGGCTCTGAAACTAAGGTGTACAAAAAGAACATAGTGCAAAAAATACTATAGATCTTTAGCAACTTTTAGGTTGTGGAATGCAATCCAATAATTTAACAAAATTGGTGATTTACTTTCCTAATAACCATTTGCTAGGTAGGTAAGAAACGTTTTAGTGAATATAAGCCGAGAAAGCTTTAATAACTGTTACTAACCTTTAATTATAAATGATCACTTGAATACTTTCAAAATGCGTTATTGTCTTTTTATTTCCAAAATAATTAAAAAAAAGTATTGATTTGGTGATTGCTGAAAAACTTTGTTAATATCGACGACAGTGAACCACATTGCACAACATTCTGTATATGAACTTACTTGTCTTATGTTATATTTACTGTACACCTCTGGCAGTATGTACATATTATGACGTCTTGTGTCATAAGGCTTAATGATGGGACGAAATATAAATAAAATAAGAATAAAGCCATACTTTTAATATAAATGTGAAATTCAGTTTGTTTATTACGCTTTTACAGCTAATCCACTAAACCGATTTTAAAAATTCTTTCACCAATAGGAAGCTACATGATCAGCGAGTAACACAGAATACTTGTTACCTCGATAACTGACATGCACGCGGGTGGAGCCGCGGGAAAGCTAGTTATATCTTATTATACTTCTCGGTAATTACCACTTTGGAATTACAATAACACTTCCTAATCCATTCGTATTACACGTCATAGAGGCAAAACGTCACCGTCAACCCAGCGCTTTGGGAATTATAAGTGAAGAAATTTGGGTGACACCAAATTCTTATTGGTTTACGAAGCTGTTATGTTTGGGTTTTTATGTATTATACATTGCCATATATTTTTCGTAATAATAATATTTTGGACATCTGACTTACAACGCTATCTAGTTTCAAACTAAGCAGAGCTTGTACTATGAAAGTTAGATTGACTTATAGATTTTTTTTGTAAAGAAATACATTCATACATATTATACATAGAAACCACCCAAACTCCGAAACAAATATTTGCAGATCATACGAACATTTGGACCGAAACGTTAATCGAACCCGAGACCTCAGCACAGCAATCACATACGCTACTATTTCACAACCGAGGCAGTCAAATTTCTTCAAACAAAACTTTTATATTTTAAAAAAAAAAAAAAAAAAAAAATGAATTGCTGTGTGCCATGTGGAATCCGTCTATTATGAACCGCTCCTAATCACTGTATCTGAAACACAACTTAATGTTAAAAAGTATATAATTATGTTAGTTTATAAGGTTCTCGCTCTTGACCTTTTATACAGTTTAAGAAATAATTGTGAAGTCATTCTTTCTTATTGTCGATAACTTTATTGTGACTTCACTTAATAGTTAATGTAACCTGACGTCATATGACAGGTCGCCTTACTCCTTCTTTAAGGCCATAACTCGAGCCAACACGGGAAATTTACTTACTATGAATACCCCTCAATAATCGTTTACTCCTACCGGGTTTACTCTGAATTACATAATTTTTCTTCTACTAAGTACACATCATGACTGCCCTTACGTTCTCCACTATGCTTTATTCACTGTAAGGGTTCGCTGGAAGGAAACTCAGGTTTGGGTTAAGCTTGCCTTTGTACATACTCGTATAGTTCCCTTAATCACTTATTTAATATTAATCTATAATCTATACAAATAAATAAAATTGGAGTGTCTGTTTGTAATATTAAAATAATCGCTTTTTACTAAATGCATATGTATGTTTACACGGTACATATGCCAAGATAACATTTTTTACAATTTTTGTTTATCTGTCTGTCTGTCTGTTTCTTCCGGGTAATCACTCGAACGGCTGGACCGATTTCGACAGGACTTTCACTGGCAGATAGCTGATGACATAAGGAGTAACTTAGGCTACTTTTTTTAAGAGTAGCTTCGCCCCGCGGCGTTGCCCGCGGTTATTACAACAAACGCGGGTAACACCGAGGGTCTCAACTAGTATTATATATAACCACCCAGACACTTTGATCAAATAAACTTATCGAACCCCAGACAGAAGAAATAATCGTTCTCTTCAAAAAATTTACTGCATGAATGGCGTAGTGGTTAAAGCGGACACCTCGCCGCTTCCTACTACGCTGAGTGTTGATGGACAACACTTTGTGTGTTCCACAAATTGTTTTTCTGAGTCTGGGTGTTCTTTCTGTCCGTTTTCATGTATGTTTGTAAAGTACGCCGCAACACAGGAAATATTTCTAGTTCTTATATAAAAAAAAGTAATTCGTCGAAAGTATAAATCGAAACCACGACCTAAGGCGTAGTAGTCAGGAACACTAACTACTAAAACAACAGACATCAATATTTCATTTTAAGTATTATTTTTTTATGGAAGAGAGGGCAAACGAGCAGGCGGGTAACCTGATGGAAAGTGACTACCAACGCCCATGAACGCCTGCAACTCAGGAGTCATAAGCGCTTTGCCGGACCTTTAGGAAGGAGTGCGCTCTTTTCTGGAAGGTTTGAAGGTCGAATCGGTCCGGAAATACCTACCGCAGACGTGTTCCACAGATTGGTTGTCCGAGTCAATGAGTGTTTTAAAAAGCGCATAGTGCTGGAGTGCCAATTATCCAAGTGATGGGGAACTGAACTGAAAGGTGACAAGGAATTAGGACGGCTCCTTGTCAAGACCGTTTTCCTCTACAGCTACGGACCCCCTACGTGATGGGGATAATATACAATAAAATTTTAAAGTAAGTAAGTAGGTAAACATACTTACAATCATCGGGAAAAAAATCCTTATCAATATCTTCACATAATACACTTATTAAAACGTAGATATAAATAGACCGAAGAGCGTTTAATAAATTCTTACTAATCATAGTTCAAACTAGTTAGTGGCTTGGTGGTTGGTGGTTTGAATGAAATTGAGTAGAGTATGTTAAATGAACACATTTAAATCGTGAAGCTATTTTATCTCTGATTCCTATACAAACAGGTTGTGTTAAAAGTAAGTTACTATTTATTTTTTAAGGAAGCAAGGATTAAACTATTTACTGCGTGGGCTGTGCGTTGGCTAAAGTGGTCGCCTCGCCACCGTGCCGCCCCGAGCATTGCGGGCTCGATGCCCACACAACAATATGCAAAATGTAATTTATGATTTTTTTTACTGAGTGAGTATTGTTCATGTTGTATTTTCGTCCGTGTGGTGACGGATTAAGAATACAGATTGTCACCACCCCTATTCATCCCGTGGGTGTTGTAAGAGTCAACTAAGGGAAAAAACTACGCAGAACAACAACACTGCAGAGAGAAGGAAAACTTGACACAAACCCTATACCAACCCGTCTGGCCAGCGTGGTATAGTAGGCCAAAACCTCCTTTCTAAGGAGAGGCTTATGTCAAGCAGTGGACCATTAAAGGCTGTTGATGATGATGATGTATTTTCTAACGTCTGCAAAGTCGCTCGTAGTACAGGTAACATTTCTAATAATGCAAATTGTCCTACAAAAC